ACACGTCTGCAAAATGTCACTGCATGGGGTAATTTCAGTGGGTTAACATGATCCTTCAGGGCAGCCATACTGTGTGGCTTGGAAACGGTGGTCCTCAAAGTGTGGTCCCTGAACCAGCAGCATTGGCACCCCCTGGGGACTCCTTAGAAATGCAGGTTCTGGGCCCCACCCAGTCCTACTGAGTCAGAAATTCTAGGGATGAAAGACCAACAACATCCAGGGTAAACAGGGACCCCAGTCATCATCAGGAAACATCTTCTGCCGAAGCCGGTTTGGCTCAGTGATAGAGCGTTGGCCTGCTGACTGAAAAGTCCCAGGTTCGATTCCGGTCAAGGGGATGTACCTTGGTTGCGGGTGCATCCCCGGTAGGGGGTGTGCAAGAGGCAGTTGGTCGATGTTTTTCTCTCTCATCAATGTTTCTAGCTCTCTATCTCTCTCCCTTCCTCTCTGTAAAAAATCAATAAAATATATATATATATTTTTTTAAAAGGAAACGTCTTCTGAAAGCATTTCATTTATTTATTTAATGAACATCTACCAAGTTCCTACTCTGTGCCAGGCCCTGAACTCAGTGTTCAGTGAAACCAAGAGAGCCCAGGTCCTGCCCTCAGAGTTCCCAGTTAAATTGCTCTTAAACTTCAGCACTTGCTGTTTTCAATCTTTTTTTTAATATATATTTTATTGATTTTACACAGGGAGGAATTGAGAGGAATAGAGAGTTAGAAACGTCGATGAGAGAGAAACATCAACCAGCCACCTCTTGCACACCCCCTACTGGGGATGTGCCTGCAACTAAGGTACATACCCTTGACCAGAATCGAACCCGAGATCTTTCAGTCTGCAGTCCTACACTCTATCCACTGAGCCAAACCGGTTTCGGCTGTTTTCAATCTTTTATTTACTTTTTCATCGCAACCCTTATCCACCAGCCTCTCCAATCTGGGACCCCTTAAGAGATGTCCAACTGCCCATTGAGGCCTGATCCTACTGGCAATTGGATATCTCTCTTACAATCCAGGACTGCTGGTTCCTAACTTCTCCCCTGCCTGCCTTTCTGATTACCCCTAACTGCTTCTGCCTGCCAGCCTGATCACTCCCTAACCACTCCCCTACCAGCCTGACTGATGCCTAACTGCTCCCCTGCTGGCCAGATTGTCTCTAACTGACCTCCCCTGCAGGCTTGGTTCCCCCCGACACACACACAACTGCCCTTCCCTGCAGGCCCAAATTCCCTCCTCTGCCAGCCTGGTCACCCCTAACTGCCCTTTCCTGCAGGCTTGATCACCCCCAATTGCCCTCTTCTGCAGGCCTGGTCCCTCCCAATTGGCCATCTTGTTGGGCCATCTTGTGTCCACATAGGAGCAGGATCTTTTACCACATGGGGGCAGCCATCTTGTGTGTTGAAATGACAGTCAATTTGCATATCACTCTTTTATTAGATAGGCTAGAGGCCTGGTGCATGGGTGGGGGCAGTGGTTTGCCCTAAAGGGTGTCCCAGATCAGGGTGGGGGTTCCCTTGGGGCATGGAGCAGCCTGGATGAGGGACCTGTGGTGGTTTGCAGGCCAGCCACGCAAAGGCCCTGGTATCTGAAATTTATGTATCTTCTATAATTGAAACTTTATAACCTTTAGTGGAGGTCAGGGCAGGCCAGGGCTGCAGGAAGCTTGGCTTCCTTCATAGCTGGGGGCAACTCAAGCCTCCTGCTCTCTCCAGCTCTGTGGCTGCCACCATTTGGGGGGATTTATTTATCTTCTATAATTGAAACTTTGTAGCCTTGAGTAGAGGCCAGGGCCTGCCAGAGAAGGTGGGAAGTTTGGCTTCCTCCATTGCTTGGGAAACTCAAGCCTCCTGCTCACTCTGTGGCCACAACCATCTTGGTTGGGTTAATTTGCATACTTTCTCCTGATTGGCTGGTGGGTGTGGCTTGTGGGCATAGAGGAGTTACGGTCAATTTGCATGTTTTCCTCTTTTTTTTTAAATATTTTTAATTGATTTTTTTTTTTTTTTTTTACAGAGAGGAAAGGAGAGGGATAGAAAGTTAGAAACATCAATAAGAGAGAATCATTGATCAGCTGCCTCTCGCATACCTCCCACTGGGGATGTACCCACAACCCAGATACATGCCCTTGACCAGAATTGAACCCAGGACTTTTCAGTCCTCAGGCTGACCCTCTATCCACTGAGCCAAAAGAGTTTATTAGTGTAGATTCCACAAATAAGTGAGAACATGTGATATTTGTCTTTCTCAGATTGGCTTATTTCACTTAGTATATTTTCCAGGTCCATCCATGCTGTCCCAAAGGGTAAGAGATCCCTCTTTTCTACAGCTGCAGAGTATTTCATAGTGTAAATGTCTCACAATCTTTTTATTTGTTTATCTACTTATGGGCACTTGGGCTGTTGCCAAATCTTAGCTATTATAGGTAATGCTGCTATGAACATAGGGGTGCATATATTCTTTCTGATTGGTATATTGGGGTTTTTAGGATATATTCCAAGAAGAGAGATTGTTGGTCAAATGGAAGTTCCATTTTTAATTTTTTGAGGAAATTTTATACTGTTTTTCATAGTGGTTGTACCAATCTGCATTCCCACCAGCAGTGCACTAGGGTTCCCTTTCTCCACATCATTGCCAGCACTTGTAGTTCATTGATTTCTTTATTATTATTATCATTATTATTATTGATTTCAGAGATGAAGGAAGAGGGAGAGAGAGATAGAAACATCAATGACGAGAGAGAGAGAATCATTGATTGGTTGCCTCCTGCATGCCCCCTACTGGGGATTGAGCCTGAAATCCAGGCATGTGCCCTTGACCAGAATCGAACCTGGGGCTCTTTAGTCTGCAGGTTGATGCTTTGTCCATTGAGCCAAACCAGCTAGGGCCATTGATTTTTTTTTTTTTTTATGATAGACATTCTGACAAGTGTGAGATGACATATCATTTTTCTTTTAATTTGCATTTCTCTGATGATTAGTGACTTTGAGAAGAATGTATATTCTGTTGCTTTGGGGTGAAATGTTCTGTAAATATTGGTTGGATCCACCTGATCTAGTATCATTTAAGACCTCTGTTTTCTTGTTTTTTTTTTTTTTTTTTTTTTGAGAGATTCTTTTTTTTTTCTTTTCAGGTTTTTAATTTTTTTAATTTTTTATTTTTTTTAAATAAATCTTTATTGTTCATATTATTACAAATGTTCCTCATTCTCCCCCACCCCCATTGCTCCCCTCCACCAGGTTGCCACCCCACCCACTGCACTTTCCCCACCCCAATTGTCCTTATCCATAGGTGCACAGTTTATGTTAAGTCTCTTCCCACTCCCGACTCTCCCCTTTTCCCCGAGAAACATCAGTCCACTCCCCTTCCAAACCTCTGATTCTATTATATTCACCAGTTAATATTGTTCATCAGATTTTTTTTTAATTCCCTTGGTTTTTAGATTCACTTGTTGATAGTTACGTATTTGTTGTTCATAGTTTTTACCTTTATTTACTTTCTCTTCCGAAAGAACCCCCTTCAGCAATTCATATAATTCTGGTTTGGTGGTGATGAACTCCTTTAGCTTTTTTTTTTATTAGTGAAGCTCTTTATCTGGCCTTCAATTCTGAGTGATAGCTTTGCAGGGTAGATTATTTTTGGCTGTAGGTTCTTGCTATTCGTCACCTTGAATATTTCTTGCCATTCCTGTCTGGCCTGCATGGTTTCTGTTGAGAAATCAGCTGACAATAGTATAGGTGCTCCTTTATAGGTAACTACCTTCTTTGCTCTTGCTGCTTTTAATATTCTCTCTTTGTCTTTTGCTCTTGGAATTTTAATTATGATTTGTCTTGGTGTGATCCTCTTTGGATTCCTTTTGTTTGGAGTTCTGTGCGCTTCCGGGACTTGTAAGTCTAATTCTTTCACCAGGTTTCTGTCACTATTTCTTTCAGTATGTTTTCGATATCTTGCTCTCTCTCATCTTCTGGGACCCCCATAATTCTGATGTTGGTTCACTTGAAATTGTTCCAGAGGTTTCTTACATTATCTTCAACTTTCTGGATTCTCTTGTCTTCTTGCTTCTATAGAAGAGTGTTTTCTGGCACACACAGAGGGAAGACAGAGAAATGGAATGAGATGAAGACACAGATAGAGGAAAGTTGAGTCAGATATTTAGGAGCAAATACAGCAAAGATAAGAAGCTCTAAACCCTGGGCAGTATGCTCCCTGCCATACTGGGCACATGCTCCCTCTGATACTCACTGCAAAGGGAAAAGTTCCTTCATGTCAGGTGCCTCAGTTCCCTTCTCCATAAAACAGAAGTGATCCTAGGACGCCACTGGGAGAGTCCCTTTGGATAATTAAATGCGATGTCTGTATCAATTACTTAGAACAGCACCCACTACACACTAAGCACTAATAAGGACTCATTGTTATATTAAATAGAGAAAAGGACGAGGAAGTTGATGAAAAGAGAGGCTACAGAGAGGATGAAAGGAGAGCTGGTGACAAAGAATGGGGCCGGAGCCAGTGCTGGCACCCCGGGACAGGCCCTCTCCCCTCACTGCTCACCTGCAATGAGGCCTCCGTGCTGGCCCTGGGCTTGCCTTCCGCTGTCCCCTGCCAGCTGACAGCTTGTTGTCCACCTTGGACAGCGGTGTCTGCACCTCCATGGCTGCTTTTATGCGCCTGGCTGAGGAATGGTGAGCGGCTGGGCTTCCCCGTTCAGGGTAAGTTTGCTGGACGCTGGCCCAGTGGGATGCTGGCTTAGGCCTGAGGACTTGGCCTGCCTGTCCCACTACGTGAGTGACGCGCACACCCGGGACGCTGGTCCTGCAGGGTCGGGATCCTGGTCCCCATCCCCAGGGGCCTGGCATCCTGGCTTCACGCAGGCGCATGTGGGACCTCAGGGTCTGAGTTCTGACCAGAGGCACCTGAGCTCAGACAGCGCCTTCCTGCCATTCGCTAAGGGCGCCCCCAGGCGGACAGGCTCTGGTCGTGGTGCGCGCTCGGCAGGGGTGCATGTCACTCCCCTTCGGTCCTCGGCGGGCTCTGTGGCTCCGCGCACAGCACGCACGTCCATCCTGGACCGGCAGGGGGTTCCGCGCAGGGATCCCGAGCTGCCCGCGCCTCAGGCACAGGCGAGGGCGCAGCCTCAGCCCCTCATTGTGCCGCCAGGAGGAAGAGACGCGGAGCTGGAGGCCATGGAACTGCTCCTTCCGCCCGCGGAGGGGCCCCCGGCTGCCCGGGGTGAGGCCCCGGGGCGCGGGGCGGCGGGGGGCGGGCGGGCAGGGCCGGGTGGCGGCGTCTCTAACTCGCCGGGTCCCCGCAGTCGTGCGCGGGGCTCCGCCGGGTGGCCCGGGGCCTCTCGGACGCCCAGGCCGTGCTGAGCAGCCTGCCCAGCCCCGAGCTGTTTCCCGGCGTCGCCCCCACCCTGGAGCTGCTGGCGTCGGCGCGGAGGGACGTGGAGGCCTGCGTGAGTGTCCCCGCCGCGTGTCTGCGCCTCCGCCCACAGCCCGGCCGCCGCTCTCCTCTGTGCGCGGCGCCCACCCGTCCAGGCACAGTCCGCGTCCCGCTGGGGTCCGAGGGCGGGGCTGGGGCGCGTGGGCCGGGCGGGTGGGAGACGGTCCCTGGGCTCCTTCGTTTACCTCCTGTGCCCCCTGCAGCTCCAGCTGGCGCGGCCAGGCTCCTCGAGGAAGGGCCCGAGGGCACCCAGGAGGCGTCCGCACCGGCGGAGAGGGGTGAGTGAGGGGGCGGGCGGGGCGGGGCGGGTTGGGTACGGTGGGTGGGGCGGGGGAAAGTGGGGTGGGGTGCGATGGGGCGGGGTGGGGTGCCCCGCTGTGGGGTGGGGTGGGGCGGGGTGGGGCGGAGTGGGATGGGGTGGGAAGGGGTGGGGTGGGCCGGTGAGGTGGGGTAGGGACGGGCGGAGTGGGGTGGGCGCGGTGCGGTGAGGTCAGTGCAGTGGAGCGGCCGGGACCCCGGACCCCTGAGGGGGAAATGGCTGCCTCAGCCCCGCTTCGCCTCCTTCCCCGGTGCCAGGACTCGCCTGGGTGCCATGAAGCCACAATCGTCTTCAACCTCCTGCGCCTGCTCGCGTGGGACCTGAAGCTGGCGGCGCGCTCGGCGCCTTGCCTCTGAGCGCGGCTGCGGAGGGACCGCGGGCTGCAGGCTGCGCTCAGCCGGGCTGCGCTCCCTGGGGCCCGGGCAGGGCTGCAGCCAGTGGGCGCGGGCGCCCTGGAGCGCGGGGACAGGACCCGAGAGGACAGCGCGTCCCTGGCAGCAGGGACGGTTCTGCGGAGAGCATCGCCCTGAGACCCTCCAGGGTCTGTGCAACAGGAGAGACTGGAGAGACTGGAGTCCTGAGTCCACGAGGGCGCGGGCCACGGACCGTGGACAAGGCTCTACTTCCCTGGGCACCAGCAGCGCAGAACCAGTCTCCATGCCGTTCCCACGCCCTGTTTGAGCCCTCAGCCTCTCCTGTGAGATTCTGTGAATCTGTGACGCTGCATCTCTCCACTGGTGAGGCCTCTGCCCTAAGGGACTTGGCAGTGAAAGGGCCTGGAGTCCTTAGGTTACTGCAGTATTTTGGATTCTGTTACCTGTGTGTCTTTTGTATTTGAAATCCCTGAGCAATGGGCTACTCTGTGTTTCATTATTAAATATTCTTGCATCTACACTGGCTGTTCCCCTGTGATCACTCTGAGCGGCACTCTTTGGTTAAAAACGCCTAGCCAGGGCCATCAGGTGACTTGAGTTCAACTCTGACCCTGCCACTAGCAGGGTGTGACTGGGCAAGTTACTTCTCCGTGGCCTCAGTTTCCTCATCTGTACAAAGGCCTCATTATCCTTCCTTTGTGGATGAGTCGTGGACATTGAAGCAGCACCTATAAAGCTTCCAGTGGAGGCTTAGGGTGAGCTCAATCAACGGCCTCTATTAACCACACACACCTCCTTACACAGACGAGTGCACTTCTTCATTTGTCCAAGCCTGTGGGCTAGAGGTCTTTGCTGCCAACTGCAGGGCTCTTTGTCAAGGTCACACAGTTAGTGAGGGCAGAGCCCTCACTCCCTTTAACTCCCAGGCCCTTTAACTCCATGCTGCATGCTCTTTAAAATAAATAAATTAAATATATATATATATATATATATATATATGTAATCTTTAGTCCTAGCGGGCTTCGGATAGATTGTCAGCCTGTGGAATGGGGGTCCTGGATTGATTTTTGTCAAGGGCATTCTTGGGGTTGTGAGCTCCATCCCCGGGGGGGGGGGGGGGGTGTGGTACAGTCAATGCAGGAGGCAGCTAATCAATGATTCTCTCTCATCATTGATGTTTTTTACCATTTTCTTTTAAAAATATATATTTTATTGAGTTTTTACAGAGAGGAAGAGAGAGGGATAGAGAATTAGAAACATCGATGAGAGAGAATCATCGATCAGTTGCCTCTTGCACACCCCCTACTGGGGATGGGCCCGCAACCAACATATCGGGTCTAGTAATAATTAATGTCGTTTTAAACATTCGTTTAAAATCTTGCTTGGCGTTGACTTGTATTGACATAACCTTCAAACACGTGGTATCTACAGAACGTGTGAAGTGCAATTAACAAGTTTTGCTTAAAAAGTTTGTGTTTGGTTTGTTTTTTGTTGCAAAACTAGGGCTAAGAAGATGGCGGATGAAGAGCATATTCGGCACTGCATGCTTTACGAGTTCCAATTAGGAAGAAAAGCAAGTGAGGCTGCAAAAAACATCTGTAGTGCTCTTGGTCAAGATGCAGTTAGCGCCAGAAAATGCCAGCGTTGGTTTGAGAAATTTCGCGAGGGAAATTTTTCATTAGATGACAAGAGTGGTCGAGGCCGTGTGTCCAATTTTGATCAAGAAGCTCTTCAAGCTCTTTTGGTGCAAAATCCTCAAATTACCCAACAAGAGCTTGCGACAACTTTAAATTGTTCACAAAAAACAATTTCCAATCAATTGCGTGCACTTGGCAAAGACCAAAAGTTTGGAAAATGGGTTCCTCATGAGTTGACCGACAACAACCGTAATCAAAGAGTCACAATTTGCAGTTCGCTCCTCTCTCGTCAAAACCGTTTGCTGTTTTTAGAGCAAATTGTTACCGGAGATGAAAAATGGGTGCTGTATGTTAATTTGAAAAGGCGGCCTCAATGATTGGACAAAAATGAGGCTCCACAGCCCACGCCAAAACCTGACTTGCATGCGAAAAAAGTGATGTGTGTTTGATGGAATTTTAAAGGAATTCTTCATTATGAACTTTTACCATCTAACCAAACCATTACAAGTGCAGTGTATAGTGCCTAATTGGAAAGGTTAGCCCAAGCTTTAAGAGAAAAAGAACCCGCGCTGATTAATCGGAAGGGCGTAATTCTTCACCACGATAACGCACGACTGCATACTGCAAGAATCACTGCTGATTGGAATGGGAAGTTGGAATGGGAAGTTCTCCCTCAACCTGCATATTCTCCTGATATTGCCCCTTCCAATTACCATTTGTTTCGTTCTTTGCAAAACTTTCTTCTTGGAAAAAAATTTAATAATGAAGAATGCCTCAAATGCATTGACCGAATTTTTTGCATCAAAATCACAAGAATTTTACAACAGAGAGAATAAAATGCTTCCTGAGCGTTGGGCACAAGTAGTAGAAAACAACGGCAACTATATTGTTGATTAAATTTTGTTGTATTGTTTAAATAAATTTGATTTTAAAAAGTATTAGAAACGACATTAATTATTACTAGACCTAATACATGCCCTTGACCAAAATCGAATCCGGGACCTTTCAGTCCGCAGGCTGAAGCTCTATCCACTGAGCCAAACCAGTTTCGACTCATCATTGATGTTTTTAATCTCTCTCCCTCTCCCTTCTCTCTGAAATCAATAAAAATATATTAAAAATAAATATAAATAAAATATTTTTTATTGATGCAATTGCATCAGAGCGGACCTGCGAGTTCAGCAGGGATCCAATTGGTCAGGCACATGCCCAGATTGTGTGCTTGGTCCCCAGTAGGGGCCAAGCAGGAGGCAGCTGGTCTATGATTCTCTCACCATTGATGTTTCTCTCTCTTCCTCTATTTTCTCTCTTGCTCAATCATTGATCCTCACTGCCCAAGCAGGAGACATTATTTTTATTTTACTCACTTATTTTTTTATAATTTTTTTATTGATTTCAGAGAGGAAGAGAGAGGGAGAGATAGAAACAACAATGATGAAAGAGAATCATTGATCGACTGCCTCCTGCACAACCCCTACTGGCGATCTAGACCAGAACCCAGGCATGTGCCCTTGAGTGGAATTGAACCTGGGACCTTTCAGTCCACAGGCTGACACTCTATCCACTGAGCCAAACCAGCTATTATAGGACAGGAGACTTTATTTTTAAAACACATGGCAACAATGAGCTTCTTGCTCACTTTACCAATGTTACTCATATTTAAAATGTAGGCAAACACATTTCCAAATGTGCTCCTGATGTCATCATGGGTTCAATACTACATTGTGGCGAAGCCTCCATGATGGGGGGAGCATAAAGCACTCCCCGATGCAGGGGGTAGGGGGTGTCTTCTTCTCCTTCCAGATCTTCACATGGCTCACCCCCTCACTCCCCACTTTCAGTTTTTGCTCAAATGTGATTTTTCTGGCCTCATTCAGGGCAGCCCCTCCTACACTCTGCTGTCACCTCACTTTTGTGCTTTCATTTTCTGTTCCCTGATGTAATATACCCCTCCCCGACTCCCTCCTGTAAAAAGGCCATGAGTCCTGGCTGGTGTGACTCAGAGGCCGGAGCATCCTCCCCTGAGAAAGGTTGCTGGTTCAATTCCTGGTCAGAGGACATGCCCGGGTTTGGGGTTCTGTTCCCAGTTGGGACACATGTGGGAGGCCACCCTTTTACATACATGTTTCACTCTCACATTAATGCCCCCTCCCATCTCCTCTCTTCCTCTCCCTCTAAAGATCAATACAGTAAAGTCTGTTTATTTGTTTTTTTATAAGAAAGCTCCAACAAGTTTTGTTTAATGGGTTGTTTTTTCATTGCTCTGTTCCTGGCGCCTTGAGCACTGCCTGGAACGTGCTGGGGGCTGAGTGACACTTGGTGAGTGAAGGGAGGCATTTGTCACCTCTGAGCAGGACCCCTGAAGCCCTGATTACCCACCCCTCCCCCTGGCTCCCTAGCAGAGACTCCTATGCCTGGTGCCTCCAATCTGGACATTAAAGATGTTTGTCAGGCCCCCTCCTCCCCCTCTTTCTCGGTACCCGGTACCCGGTGGGGAGGGAGGGAAGAGCTGGTCTCCTCTCTTAATTCTGGGCAGCTTTGTCCTGCTGACTCTCTCCCCCACCACTCCTCCCGCCAGCAGCAGCCTGCTCCCTTCACCTCCCCCCTCCTCTACAGCCTCCTTCTCAGAAGTTGCAGGTTCTTGGTGGCCACAGCCCTGGAGGGGCCTCCCCCTCTGCCTGCAGGGGTGTCCTGCGGAGAGGCTGCCCCTCCTGTGGGGCTGAGGCTGCCATTCTGCTGAGACCCGGTTGGGACTCACCTCCTGTAGGTGAGCCTGAGTGTGTGTCACTTTCTGTTTCACTCCAGCTGCTCACCTGGCTCCAGGCCCCGCCCTGCACGGGCTTCCCCAGCCTGGGGCCTCCCCTAGTGGCAGGTGTGTTTTCACTTTTCCTACATCAGCTGGGATTGCCCGCCTGTGCAGCCCAAAAGCTGCACCATGGAGCCCAGGGAGCAATTGGATCGGAGCCGACCTGCGAGTTCAGCGACACACACTGAGCAGCCGGCTGGGACCTGGAAGAGGAGACCGAGGCCAGAGACAGCAAACAGGGCTGAGTGAGCCCCAGGGACAGCCTCTGAGAGGACGCTTGGATCTCCCGCCTGAAACAGAGACCAGAGACCAGAGACCAGGATGAAGCTGGGTGAGCCTCCATGTCATTGCCCATGACCCTCACTCCCCAGAGCCCCCACCCTCAGCCCCTGACACTCTGTGCCCTCCTCTGTCCATCCTTCCCTAACAGCCCTGGCCGGGTGTGGCCCGCTGGTGCTGATGCTGATGAGCACGGTGCTGACCAGCACAGGAGCAGTTCCCGTCCCCACGCCCCTGGGGACCCTCCTGGGTGGAAGGGG